TTTTTTCTAGACTTTTATGTGATGTCGTCTTTTTACTGCTTTTATTCTTTCTAATGTTTCTAATGCATTTTATTTTATTTGTAATTGTTGTATTGATTTGTTCTTTATTGTTTCATCCGTTATACTACGTTATCAGTGTTTGTTTTGTCTCGCTTTAGTTTGGCTTTCTCGCAAGACTACTGGAGGGGTTCTGGGAGTTTGCCCAACCAGTCTACATGTGCTTTGTGGACTTGGAGAAGGCTTTCGACCGGGTCCCTCGGGGGTTCTTGTGGGGGGTGCTGCGGGACTATGGGGTGCCGGACCCGTTACAACGGGCCATCCGGTCTCTGTACGACTGCAGTAGGAGCTGTGTCCGTATTCTCAGCAATAAGTCAGACACGTTCCCGGTGGGTGTTGGCCTCCGCCAGGGCTGCCCTTTGTTACCAGTCCCGTTCGTGACTTTCATGAACAGGATATCTAGGCGCAGCCGGGGGGTGGAGAACGTCAGGTTCGGGGGTCTCTGGATCGCCTCTCTGTTGTTTGCAGATGATGTGGTCCCGTTAGCCTCCTCGGATCATGACCTCCAGCATTCACTGGGGCGGTTTGCAGCCGAGTGTGAAGCGGCGGGGATGAGAGTTAGTACCTCCAAATCTGAGGCCATGGTGCTCTGCCGGAAACCGGTGGATTGCTCCCTCCAGGTGGGGACGGAGTGCCTACCTCAAGCGAAGGAGTTCAAGTATCTCGGGGTCTTGTTCACGAGTGAGGGTAAGATGGAGCGGGAGATCGACAGGCGGATCGGTGCAGCTGCAGCAGTAAAGCAGGCGCTGCACCGGACCGTCTTGGTGAAGAGGGAGCTGAGCCGGAAGGCAAAGCTCTCAATTTACCACTCGGTCTACGTTCCTACCCTCACCTATGGTCACGAACTCTGGGTCGTGACCGAAAGGACAAGGTCGCGCCTACAAGCAGCCGAAATGAGCTTCCTCCGTAGGGTGGCCGGGCTCAGCTTTAGAGAACTTGGAGTCGAGCTGCTACTCCTTCGTGTCGAAAGGAGTCAGCTGAGGTGGTTCGGGCATCTAATCAGGATGCCTCCTGGGCGCCTCCCACTGGAGGTTTTCCGGGCACGCCCAACTGGTAGGAGACCCTGGGGAAGACGGAGAACATGCTGGAGGGATTACATCTCCCAGCTGTCCTGGGAACACCTCGGGATCCCCCAGTATGAGCTGGCAAATGTTGCGGGGGAGAAGGAAGTCTGGGTCAGCCTGCTTGGCCTGCTGCCACCGCGACCCGACCCCGGATAAGCCGAGGGAAATGGATGGATGGATAGTTTGGCTTTACCATTTGATTTTCTGTGATTATATTGTCTTGTTTTTTTGTTTTTCATTCATGGCATGAAGTGGGAACTCTTGGTGAGTGGTTGTGGAAAACACCACCACTACCGAGTGTGTCAGAGTCAGGGATTAGACTACACTCTCTCCCTCAACCAGGTGTTCTGGTGTTTTTTTAAACATACTGGTGCTGAATTGGTCACAGGCTCCAATGATTTATCTCTGTGTTCATGTCTTGTATGTATGTGTGTGTGTGTGTGTGTGTGTGTGTGTGTACCTTAACCACAGTCTGGAAGGCGAAAGGGAGGACCTGCTTGGCCCACTGTTTCTCAAGTTCCACCACCCCGTCAGCTTTAGGGACGTATTTCCTTCCCGTCAGCAACTGGCCGTACAAAACCACCGACGTGTCATTCACCATGATGCCTTTCCTCTTCACGAAACTGGGAGGAAGAAAAATCACTTTTAAAGAACGGAATCGTACACGCGTGACATAAGAGTGGAGAGGTCTCGCTTTATCTCAAGACCAGGAAAGAATGGGTCTTATGACTTCAAAAGAAAAACGTTTTGGGGTTTAACTTGAAACCGTGTTCATGGAGACTTACTGTTCAGTAACTCCCTGCACGTCCTTCACCCAGTCCTTCTGCTCCTTGTCAGACAGACAGTTGACTTTGGTGGGGGGGGGTGTGGAGGGCCTGTCGTACACTCTTTGGACACCGGGTGGTTCCTCCAGACAAAACCTGCACAACAGGGCCAAAGATTTCCCTGAGCCGACTCTTCACACACACACACGCACGCACGCACGCACGCACGCACGCACGCACGCACGCACGCACGCGAAGCCTGCGCTAGCTGAAGCCAAACGGACATGCTGCTGTCTTCAGTGATTGTGGTCCAGGTTTCACCGGCTGATATTTTAATACTTTTCTGTAGAATTTGGAAATGTCTAGGGGAGCCTCTTTTTCAGCAAAGCACAGCGATGTAGTGGGGGTTTGTCTTTTTCTATCAGCATACTCTCTTTCATTTCAGCTTTCTATCAAATCACAGTAATGATACCAAAACACATGGTAAGAACTCCATTGACTGATAATTAATACCTGTGTAGAATCTAAAATGTACTTCCATTAGACAGATAACTACAGAGTACTAATTCTTACTTGACGTCTCCATCCGACACCGCAATGATGCGAGCTTCCTCTAGATGAGGCCAGTTGACGAACACCGACTTCCCCAGAACCTGTGCAGCAACATCATCACAAACCTGAGGAGACAGAGAGGGAAATCATTTCATAATGTGCTCTGTTGTTTAGCATCATGTTAACAAACTGCAGTTCGAAGGGTTAGAATCATAAGAGGAATGAATTACTGGTCCTTATGATCAGGACTGATGTTGATAAGATTGTTTTTATCCGACACTGCACAAGAAATAGAATGCAGCAACATCAATGGTTGTTGTTCATTTCACATATTCCAGAGTGTGGGAGAAAAAAACCTTGCATTTACTGTGCAGAAAATAATTTAATATAAAACAAAATATGAAGAGTTAAGATTCTGATAATGAATGAATATTTGGGAGGTATGGTCTGAACAGAAGTTAGTTAAAAGATGTAAATATAAATATATACATATACACACACATATGTACATACATATACACACACATATACGTACATACATATACACGTATATACATATACGTACATGTATACACATATACGTATATACATATACGTACATGTATACACGTATATACATATACGTACATGTATACACATATACGTACATGTATACACATATACGTACATGTATACACATATACGTACATGTATACACATATACGTACACGTATACACATATATATACACATATATACACACACACACATATATACACACACACACATATACACATATATATATACACACACACACACACACACACACATATATACACACATATATACACACACACACACACACACATATATACACACGTATATACACATGTATATGTATACATACGTGTATATGTATATGTATACATACGTGTACATATACATACGTATACATACATACATACCTACATACACACATATATATATATACACATATACATATATACATATATACATACACATATATACATACACATATACATATATA